GTGACTTGTTGTTTTCTGACTACTGTTGTTTGTTGTTGTTTGCTGTGGTTGTTTATCATTTTTGTTTACTTTTGTCACGTGATTTTTGTTATGTTTACTTTGTTTGTTTTTCATTACGTATTGTGATTCTTGTATTACCAAAATAGATCTGAAATTCAGAGTCAAGGCCGATTCCCCTAAAGTTTGCAAAGTGTAAAAAATATTGACAGTTTTCAAGACTTCTTCTATTTCTTTGCCACTTCTGTTTTTCTTACTCAAGTCTCTTAAGAGACTAAGTATTTCTTGTTGTTCTTTTCCTCTTTGCTTAGGAGCCTGGGATTAGTTTTTTAGTGACTTTTGTGTATTTTTTATGTCTTTTGTTGATTTTTGTTTTCAGAAATTTTGTGTTTTAGTAATCAGCAGAAAGAGTTTTTTTTTTTGAAGAATGATCTTAGTATAATATAATACAAATTATTATATAAATTATATATATTCAGAACTAGTATTCGTTTAAGATAAACTTTTTTCTTACTAAGTTAATCATTCTTCTTGTTTAAGAGACAATTGTCAAACTTATTGAGATGAATCTAACAGTAGTAAGATTATCAAAATTGGTTTAGTGGTTGCCAAGATATTGCTAAAAATGATTGGCTATCTATATAAAATTTCTATGAAAGTTTTATATAAGCAATAGTATATTTATGTAGAATTTTATATAGTTGACCAATTATTTTTTAGTGATATCTTAGCAACTACTAAACTGATTTTAATAATCTTATAACTGTTAGATTTGTTTTGATGAGCTTGACAATTGTCTCTTAAGAAAGAAGAGCAATTAACTTAGTAAAAAAAAGAGTTTCCTTGGATGAATACCAGATTCTGTATATATGTAATTTATATAGTAATCTGCATCATATTATATTAAGGTTATTCTTCTGTTGAGTGGTAAATCATCAATTAAGTTAAAAATAATAAAAGATTATATAATTAAATTATTAGCATATTTTAAGAATCCAAATTACAAATTCTTTATTAAAAAGTTACGTGATTAACAAAAACTAACTTAGGCTATACAAACTTAATAAATCAGTTCTTATAACCTGGCCAGATCAAATTTTACAAAACTTTAAAAAAAATTTTAAGTATATTTACTATTCGGGTAGGTTTTTTAAAAAATTTGTAAAAAAATTTTATATATTTTTTATAGGATAAATCTAAACAATACCCCTATACACTTTGTGCCCCCTCTTGATCATCAATTTTGTGTAACAAAATTTATCAAAATAAAAATTAAATTCTTTAATAACAAAATAAAAACAGTCTTTAGAAATTAGGGTTAGACATAACATATAGTAAAATTTTACAAGAAATTTTTTTTGTTAGAGCTCCAAATGAGGTTTTATAATCAAAATTTTGAGATATAATTAGTTTTTAAAAAAATTCTTTGTTTTTGTTATACAAAATTGTTATGTATGATTGTTTTTGTTATACAAAATTGATCTACATATTATACTTGATCTTGCAATTTTATTGGTCAATCAAGGAAGCACAAAATGTATGGACACTGTTTAGTCTTATCCTTTTTTATATATAAAATTTTTTGAAAATAAAATTAAAAGCTGGGTTGCTAGGTTATTTTCAAAAATTTTATATTATGAGAACCGATTTATTAAGTTTGAATGGCCTTATAATAAATATTACAAAATTGTAATTCTACCAGAAACTTGTTAAAACAGTTATTATATAGTAAAATTTTTTTAAAATATTTTGCAAAATTTGATTTAGCTAGGTTATAAGAACTAATTTATTAGACTTGTATAGTCTAATATTAAACTAATTTTAGATTTGAGATTGGAGTTTAGAAAATCAAGAATAATAATAATCTTTTTTTTATCATATTATTTGTATAAATTTGTAATTTTTTATTTTTAGTTATAAAAAATACTTGATATATTTAAATTAAGAGCAAAAATAGTATAGAGCTATTAACAAAAATTAGAATTTACTAAATTACTACTATCAAGTTTTAATAAAGAAAACATGCAAGATCAAATTAGCAAGAATAATGAGTCTTATGAAGTTAAACCTGAGATTGAATCTAAAAATGAACCAGGAATTGAAACTAAATCTAAAAAATCTGAGCCTAAAAAAGCAAGTAATGATTGTAGCTTAATTGAAGATCTTGACAAAGAAGTAATAGATTTAAGTTCTTTGGTAACAGAGTTTGAAGAATTTTAGATGTCTGGATGGAAATAATAACAAATAAGACTAAGGTATTGGTGGATAGAGTTCCTCAAAATCAAATCAAATCAAATATTAGACTTATTTGAATTTGATTTGATTTAAAGATCTGGATTTGAATTTGATTTGATTTAAAAAATCTGGATTTTAATTTGATTTGATTATTTGATTTTAAATCTTTAAATCAAATTAAAATTTTAGCTGTTTATAGATATCTTTGATTTTCTTAAAATTTTATTAAATAAATCGATTTTGTATAATAAATAAAAATGTTCTTCTAATCAAAATAGCCCTAGTTTGATAGAACCAAATTAACGATTATCTTAATAAAATTTTGAGAAAATAGCCTTTAGAACTATAATTCTTTAAATTTTAGCCATTTATAAATATCTTCAATTTTCTTAAAAATTTTATTAAGTAAATC